GGGGGGGGGGGCAGGGCAGCGAGTCTTACCCTGTAGTGACCAAGTCTTAAGACTCTGGAAGTGACCATGGTCATCCCACGGATGGCTGCATCAGCTAAAAAGCCTGCGAGTGGGTGGACTTTGCTGAAGAATAATAACGCTTAAATGGGAAAAAAGTAAATAAATCAGGTTTTCAAACTCGTACAGAAATGCTGGACTTACTCTTCAAGAGTTTTTCAGTGCGCACCTGGAGGAGTTTAACGCAGCCCAGACGAGCCTATAGAAACTGTTGAATTCAGAAGGAGCCACTTGGAGCTCCTAAAAATTTTTGGCATGCTCCAGGAGCACATCCAAGCTCTCATGGCAGTGGCATGCTGTGGCACTTCCACACGCTTTGCAGAAAGCTTGGAGAAAGGGTGGATCAGCAGGGAACAGGCTGGGCAATGAGGCAGGAGGGCTCCCCAGGCTGCAGGGTGACGGAGCGGGGGGTGATCTTGGGCTGCTGCTAAGGTGCAGGCAGAAACGTGAGTGGGCAGCTGGTGCTTGCCAGCCTGCTGTACCTTGGGGAAGGAATCGCTTGGCATCCCTTCTGTTGCTGCGTAGTTAGTAGGCAAAGGTGCAGGTGTCCCATCTGCCGGAGACGGTGTGAGGAGCCCTGGGCGACAGCCCTCTTAAAAGCTGGGACTGGTGTGGTGTGAGAGGCTGTTTTCTCTGTCTGGTGGCAGGAAAGCATCAGGACAGCAGAGATGGGTTATTTTTCCCAAGTTTTTAATAGGTATGAGGCAGTTAGTGGCAGCCAGACAGCGAAACAGGTGGTCCTGCGGCCGGTTTCCATCCTGTTCAATAGCCTGCCTTTTGGTAAGGCTAACAACAACCCAGGGGTTGATAAGGAAGACAGAAAGAGCTTGGGCATAATCCTTTAACGGCTCAAAAAGCAGACAGTGGCTATAGGAGCAGCTCCCTGCTACAAAACTGCTTTGGGAATTCCGAAACGGTTTGTAGCTCCACACTGGTGCGCTTGAAGAGCACGCACTCCGGCCATGCTGGGCAGCTGGGATCGCTCCTTCCAGCTGGTGACTGCAGCGTGTCTGGGTTGCCCCCTGCTAGCGCGATAGCCGTGGCAGGTTGCAGGGCCTAATAACGTGCCGGGGAGGGCAGGCGCTGTTCCCTGTGCTTGCCTTATCTGGGAAGCTGCAGAGGAAGCCGGGGAGGCCCATCGATGGCAGCCAGGTGTTGTGCAGCAGGAAGAGCTTGGGCCGTTAGACCAGTGCTGGCACTGCAGTGCTGCAGATAAGGGGCCCTACATGAAATGCTGCTACCAAGTGCAGAATAGCAACAGCTTGGAGCTCTCCTGTTGTCACTGGCTTTCTTGCCTTGGCTTCCAGATGACCGTTTACATGCAGGAATGACCCAAGTAGTTGAAATTTGCTTTTTCTCTAGCTGAAATCCATCAGAGCCAGACTGAAACTGGAGTAGGTCTGCAGGCTCCAAGGACCGATGAAACCTTCATGTGGTGCAATGAAGTTCACTTTGGCTTAAGTAGTTTTTAAGCTACAGAGGCCAATGAAATAAATGAGGTCTTGGTTTTCATGTCTCCCACTTGGAAGGCTTTGTCTCGGGTGGTTCAAAGTCACCTTAAATAATAAGGCAGCAGAGTGGGATGAAAGCTGCTGTAGGAACACGCAGAAATCATAATCAGTGTCTAGAGTGCCTAAATAGCCGCTGAGATCCAGTTATGCTACAAGCAGTAAACAGCCTTGCTCTGCAGACACTGGTCCTTGCGGCACTTGGAGCAATTTGGAGTGTGATGGCAGAACCATCCCGTGTGTCTTTGGCCCCCGTCCTGCAACAAGAGCCAGCCCTGCCCGCCTCCAGAACAGGAACTGACATTATGAGCATTCATACCGAAACAGTCCAAGGAGACAGCAGTGGGGAACTGACTTGTGCCCGCAGCCTGCTTGTGCTTTCCTGGTCTTGTCTGAGATGAGGGAAGAGTTCCAATCCCCCCGGCCACGCTGAGATAAAATGTGAGCAGAGAGGACAGCGGAGGGGGTCAGCAGGGAGAGAAGCAGTTATGGTGTGACTTCCGCTTTGGATGTGTGACATGGGGGACGAGGCTAGAGTACGGGGAGGGGGGAGGCCCAAACCAGTGAGATCTGGTAGGATTTTAGATTTAGGTCTGGTTTAACACACACCTACTCTGTGTCAAAGTGGGGCAGTGCTTAAGAGCATCTTCCCGACTGCTGCAATGGTGTCGCAGGACAGCTCGCTCTGGGGCGCGCAAGGACCTGCTCTTGGCTAGGTTGTGTGACACCTAGTCGTGAGTGTAAGCGAGGCACTAGGTACTGGTGACAATTCCGTGTGCTCGCGGACAGACATTTCTCCAGAAGCTGGATGTAGAGTGAGATGGGGACAGAAAACCAGGCGGTCTCTCTGGCATGTCACTTCTCCAGTGGCAGCACCTGGGCTGCTGAAGGTGGTGTGGTGCTTGCCAAGGGGCGATGGGGTCCTGCCGCGAGCCAGGGCCTAGAGACGGGGTGATGGTGACATGGCTGCAGGTAGCCGTGAACGCTGAGCGGCTGCTCGAGCCTGAGGTGGTTGCATGCGGGTTGCTGCCCTCGCCGATGGCTTCAGACCAAGTAAGAATTCCAGTGGTGGGACTTCTGGCCAGAACTGTGTCAAAATCACATTTGCCTTTTAAAAAAGGAAACAAAAGGGGACGTTGGGGCCAGACCTCAGTGTGACTAACAGGCTGCATGTGAAGGAAAAACAAGGCACTTGCTAGGGTTTCTGTTGAGAGACAACGTACTTAATTGCACGGTGCAGAAGCCGTAGATAGCACAGAGGAAGGTGCTGAGGAGGCGATGGCTGTTGTGTATCCTGGTGGAAGAGGAGCTCTGGTGATGTTCAAAAGCTGTTCTCAGGCAGCAGTTTGAGGTTCTCATGGTTCTCCCTCTCTTTCCAGGAAAGCTTGGCTCCTTTGTAGACGTCTAATATCTTTAGGGACTGAGAATCTCTTCTAAGCAATCTGAAAAGCAGAAGTGTTGAGGCTTATAACATGCATTAAACTGTACAATGGTGATGGGATCTCCCAGGGAAGAATCTCTGAGTCTGCTCAGCTTGCTCTACTGTATGCTTTAAGGCATCAGAGCTGGGTAGGAGCCATAAATGGGTGGGCACTTAGTTATAAAACTAAGCGAAAATCCATGTGTCTAAGGATAAATGAGTAAAACTAAATGCCGTGATGGGTCTCCGTTGCAGTGACTAAAGGGTCCTCAAAAATGATTACTTCATGATGTACTCAGAAATGATTACTTTAGACCTGTTGATGCAAGGTGAGAAGTGTGGCATAAGAGTCCTGGAATAAGCCCTGTGAGCAAACTAACCTGCCAACCTTCCCTGTGGGTCTCAAACGCCTGCTAATTAGGGTGCTTTGGAAAGAATGTGCAGTAGGACCAGCCCTTGGGCTTTTGGAGAGCACAGACCTTGACATTAGGGGCAGGTAAAGTTTTGCATGCTCCCTGGCTTCTCCGCAGCAGGCTGAACCTTCCCCTGGCTGCAATGTGATATTTGGGCATGCTGGGATCCTGCCAGGCTTTGGGCAGGGTGCTGAGTCAGAGCTCCCAGCTGTAGCAGAGAAACTGGGAGAACCTTCTCTGAGCATGTGCTGCTGCTGGAGAGCTTTATTGCAAATTGGAGGGCTCTGATTTATGCAGACCTCTGGACTCTCGAGCAGTAGAAAACCTGAAGTTCAGTAGTTTTTGTCCACTGGGAACTGTTGGCCTGTCCTTTGGGTCACTGGTGCTGCAGACACTGCACACTCAAAGGCTGCAGGAACCAGTGAGACTGGAACTTGGCAGTGTCCTCAGGCTTGGGGATGGAGCGTGCCTCCAAGCCAGAGCCTGTCAGCCTCGACTGCTCCATGCCTGGTGCAGACCTGCGCTCCCTGGCCGGGTGTCTCCCCTGCTTCTCCCCTTAGGCAGGGCCTGTGCCAAGCACGGGGCAGACCGCAGCGTGCTGGGGTCTGGCTTCTGGCTCGGGTGCTGTGACAGGGCGTGGGGAAAGCCTGTGCGAAGGCCGTTGTCTGCAGGCTAGGAGGGAAATGAGAGGTGCCACAGCTGAGGTCTCCTGTTGCTCTGCATCGGTAGAGCCAAGCTTGTTTGGGGGGGAAAAGTGGTCTTTTTTTCTTGTTTGGGTTTTGGTTGGTTGTTATTTTTAGGTTAGCTAAAAGACATCTATCAAGTTTCCAGCTTGCATGAGCATGTGGCCTACCTCTTTGTGCTTGGCTGTTTGTGCCACGTGGCTTGACTCCATTTCAGCTGTATGCATCTCCTGCCCACCCCACCTCTCTGATCTGCAGGGGCACAAGGCTGAAACGAGGCTTGACAGTTTGAGATTCACAGTGCAAGCCTTGCTTTTCTCTGCTGTCAACCCAGGAAGTAAAACTCCAAAATGTCTGAGCTTCCCAGAGAGCAGGTAGAGGCTGCTAGCTTGGTGTTCCTGCCAAGCCCTCTTCATGCCAAGCTGAGATTGTAATTTGGACATTTGGAGTCTCTGACTCCATGTGACGGTGCTGGGAATGACGCTGGGTGACCCACTGCTTCTGTGGTTGGTCTGTACGTGAGGGTGCTGCCCTTAAGGGAGGTGTTGTGGTTTAACCTCAGCTAGCAGTAAAATACCACACAGCTGCTCTCTCAGACCCCACACCCCCATACCCCTCCCTGTGGAGGAGAGTTGGAGGAAAAGACAAGGAAGCTCATAAAGTTGAGATAAGAACTGTTGAATAATTTAATATAAATCAATATTATAGTGATACTGCTAAGTAATTAATAGCAAATAATAAATTATACAATTGCTCACCACCCACCAACCAACACACAGCCAGGTCCTGAGAAGTGAGAGTCAGAGCCAGAGAGCCCAAGGGCAACAACCTGACCGGAGGTGGCGGGCAGGGGAAGCCAGGCCCCCAACCCACTAACTAACCATCCCACCAGGCCTCTAACAAATGAGTTAACGACCGAGCTAAGAAGCTAGCAAAAGCCTTAATGACGCCCCCAGGTCCCTTCCTGCCTAAGTACTGCGAATGTAAGGTGGGATAAAGCACTCCCTTGGCCACCCTGGGCCAGCTGTCCAAGCTGTGAAGAAAATCAGCTCTTTCCTGCCCAAAACAAGCACAGGAGGTGAGACTCCTCCAAGGTCAGAGTTAAGGGGGAGGATTCTGGTAATATTAATCTGGGTGCTGGAAACAAACGTTAACAAAAACTCTCTGGAAGGGGTTGTAACGTGACCACTGCAATCTAATCCAGGCCTGAGGCAGGATATTGCCTTTCTAATGTTACATCAGAGGTGTTAAGTGCAAGGCTATAAATTAAGTATATCAGGGCTTGCTGGTTAGCCTCTGGCTTGATTGAACTCGCTTCATGTTGGTATCCTGCAGCATAAGGAAAAACCAGCATTTGGTTGGCCAGCACAGGCCTGCGGCAAAGGCGCAGACCCGCATCCGCTTGACAGGTTGCTGCAGCGGTTTCTGGGTGGTCTCCTACGAGAGAGGTTCTCACACACAGCGCTGCTGGCTAAAGCAGCGCGACGGTGACTGCAGGCCCGTGCCGGAGTGCCGTGCACATCGTGGCAGATCGCACGAAGGCGCCAGCCCAACCTTCGGCCGTGCGCTTGGCGAGCGGTGGCAGTGTCTGAGCTGTTGTGCTGACACGTGGCAGGAGGCAGGGATGATGAGGGAGGAGGCTCTGGGCAGACCAAGAGGTGGTTCTCTGAGGCACCTTAACCAGGGCTATGCCTTTTCCACCTTCCTGTGACTGATGAGGCAGCTGAGTGCTGCATTGCTGTCCAGTATCTAGTGCCCTGAGCATCCTGCATTTTCTTCCTACCGGGATGCAAGTACCAGATGGCTTTCATTTCTTCCTCTCCCAGTTCAGCTGCAAACTGAAATACAGGTAGGATTGCAGCCTCTTCCCTGCTCCTAGTCATGAGAGATGTAGTCCCTGTCTCCAGCCATGTAACACCTCTGCATTTCTGTCTGAGGGGGAGCCTGGGTACTGCTGGAAAGGATTACATGGTTAGCAAGGTTCCCTTTCTGCTCTGCCAATGCCCTGCCAGCTCCCTGGAGGAATCTGCTTTCCCCACCGATGCACCTCCCATCCGTCAGCAAGTTTGTTGAAAGGATTTTGACAGGCAACTTTCTTCCGTAATCCTTAATGGCTTTGAATTTAAGATGTTTACGGCAAAGCTAACCCCATGAAACTCCCTGTAGTTTTAATAAATCTGTCCTCCAGCAAGATTCTTCTGGTGAGAGGGGGTAAATCATCTTCCTTCGGCAGTGGTAAATACCTGCAGACTGGGCTGTGGGGCAGCTTTAAAGTCACCTGCTCGGTCCACACTTAAAACTGGTTATCTCCGCTCAGAGAGCGTCTCGCGGTTGGCAACCTTTGCAGCCAGTGTTGGCACAAAACCGTTGGAGCTGGCGAGTCTCTTGTAATCCTGTCGGTGTCAGATGCTGTGTACAGCTGGAAGGTAAGAGAATAAGTCAGGCTGGGATTTCTGGATGTTTCCAGTCCCGGTTCCCCTACTCCAAGCAGAGCGAGATGGAGCAAGGCCCTGGGAAACCTGATCAGGTCGTAAATATCTCCCAGGACAGACAACCCCTAAGTTCTAGGGCAGGGGAGGCACCTTCGCTGTGCTCCAGTGTCTTTCGAAGGTGGCCTTAACCTCAGCATACCTTTAATTTACGTTCGTGCAGGCATCCCTCAAAGGGAAGGGATAAATGGAATCATCTCAAAGTGAAGTCCTGTAAAACCACAGGCAGGTAAAGACCTCCGCGCTCGGAGCACGAGGCAGCCCGGAAGCAGAAGTGGGCCTTGCTGAGGGTGTTGGCGTGTTGCAGTGAGGCTGGGCGCAGGGCTCAGCCTCTGCCCTGGCGCTCCGCGGGAAGCAGCCCTGGGTTGGTCTCTCGGCACTGGGAGCTGCCGGGTGGCCCCGGCATCGCGCACCCTGCTTACCTCGGGGTGTGGAAGCCGGGAGCCGCCCCGGCGTGCTGCCCTGTGCACCTTGTCCTGCACCGGTGGCAGCTGCCGATAGTCACAGCAGACTCTGCCCTCCTTAACGCGACACCCTGTCCCTGTCCCTCAGCCATCTCTTACCCTTGGCACGGGAGGGGGCTGTGCCTGCTTTGCCCACTAAGACCCCCTTTATGGAGATGGCTGGTTGCTGGTTTCCCTGCCGGGCTGCAGAGCATCCCGCAGAGCGGCACAGGTCTGTGCAAGAGCGGGAAGTGGGAGCGGAGGCTCTTGCTGCTGCCTTGAGGGACAGAGGAGAGGGCGTCCGGATCAGAGACCGGAATATGCTGCTTGCTGTGTGGGGAACTGAGGCTTAGCTGTAGCTTGCTTTTTGGGCGAAGGCTTTAGCCAGACCGTAGCTGAAGAGCTGCAGGCAGGAGTGGGCATTGCTGGAATGAGCAGGTCAATACGTTATCGGCAGCGCGAGTCATTCCAGGCCGCTTGGATGAGGTCCGGGGCTGGACTGCCCTACGCCTTCCTGCATGAGCCATTCACCTCCCGATCACCACCATAAACGTGGTTATCTAGGCCCAGGACAAACCTTGTCCTTACAAACGCTTGTAAAAATGACTCAGTGTTTGCAGAAGCCTTTCATGTCCAAACCATTACCTAATCCTTGTGAGCAGTGATGCTGAGCGGAGGCTTACAGCTTCCCGCTCCACTTCCCTTGCGGCCATACCCAGGGGGTGTGTGCTCCCCCGGGGAAGGGGACAACAGCAATACCTGGGCTCCAAGTGCCACTCGTGGCTGTAGCTACCCTGAGCGGAGCAGCCTGGCTGCCACAGCCTCCTGGGCTGCTGCGCCCGCTCCGAGGGCAGAGATGCCCGTGTCCGGCGCACGGCACGGGGTCAAGGGGGATGCCAGCCCTTCCGGAGCTGGTGCTTCCACATAACTGCAGTGGCCGAGGCGGCATTCAGCAGCCCGCTTGTGAGGTGGCTTTGCCGGACGGCTGTGCGCTCTGCCCTCTCCCTAATCCCTCTGTTGCCGTGGCGCCTGAGGCAGGTAGAAGTGATGCTGTGCGTGAACCCCGTTATCCTCCACGAGAGAAATCCATCCTGCGTGGGAAGAACACGCTCGTACCGTGTGAGTTCTTAAGTACCTGTGCAGATGCCTTGGGCAGCTGTAATTTTAACGGCTGACGTATTCCGTAGGCATCTGGGGAGCGTGCCCTGTGCTTGCGGGAAACGGAAAGGATGAGCACCCTGTAGCCGTGCCATCGTTAATCCACGCGGCTAGCTCGGAACCCTGGACCGTCTCCACCCCCTTGCTTTGTCTGTCCCTCCTGCGTCGCGAAGTCTGACTCGAGAGGCGTCTCTTTCCTACGAGATTTTTCTCCACCTGGAAAACGCTGATCTGGGAGATGGAGGATACCTCGAACGGGACCCAGCCTGCCCCGTTTTGCTGGGGGATTGGACCACGGCGTGATTACCCAGCCGGCTCCCTCTGGGACGGGAGCGGGTGCTGGATGACGGAGCAGCACTTCGCCTCTCGCTGGAGGCGCATGGGAAGGCCCAGAGGTGTGACGGGAATGCCTGGTGACCGGGGCTTAACCCAGGTGTGTCTCTTCTCTCTCCCTCTCTCGGTGCAGGTGACGGAGCTGAACGAACCTCTGTCCAACGAAGAGAGGAACCTGTTGTCCGTCGCCTACAAGAACGTGGTGGGGGCGCGGCGCTCCTCTTGGCGAGTGATCAGCAGCATCGAGCAGAAGACCTCTGCCGACGGAAACGAGAAGAAGATCGAAATGGTGCGGGCTTACCGCGAGAAGATCGAGAAGGAGCTGGAAGCGGTGTGCCAGGATGTGCTCAGCCTACTGGACAACTACCTGATCAAGAACTGCAGCGAGACGCAGTACGAGAGCAAAGTCTTCTACCTGAAGATGAAAGGGGACTATTACCGTTACCTGGCCGAAGTGGCCACTGGCGAGAAGAGGGCGACCGTGGTGGAGTCTTCGGAGAAGGCCTATAGCGAAGCCCATGAGATCAGCAAGGAGCACATGCAGCCGACCCATCCCATCCGGCTGGGCCTGGCGCTCAACTACTCCGTTTTCTACTACGAGATCCAGAACGCGCCCGAGCAGGCCTGCCACCTGGCCAAGACGGCCTTCGATGACGCCATTGCTGAGCTGGACACCCTCAACGAGGACTCCTACAAGGACTCAACGCTCATCATGCAGCTCCTCCGCGACAACCTAACGCTCTGGACGAGCGATCAGCAAGACGACGACGGCGGAGAAGGCAACAACTAGACCCCCCCGATGGACTGGCAGCCGCACGCTGATGCTAACTACTGCAGTCTTTATTTTTTTCCCACGAGTGGGGGGGGGGTCAGGGGTGGGGGAGGGAAAGGGAGGGGTCACCTTCCCAGGGAGCCCCCCCACAACCTGTCTTTGATTGCCTCGTTGACATTTTTGCCAAAACACCACTAGTGGAAGTCAGGCTGGCTGTGCTGGTATGGAATAGCGGCCTCACTGGCATATGGACTGTTCTGTAGATTATTAATACAAGTGGAGCTGTCTTTAATTTAACTTTATCGCTAGGAATAAAAGGGTTTTAAGGTGAATTCACGTGGATGGAATGGCCCTCGTTTTTAAGGAAAGCAATGCAGGAAAAAAAAAAAAGGGAGTTCTGTGGTTCCAGTAAGGCTTTGCGCGTTCCTATCTCCGGTCCGAGTGCCGTGTGTCCGTCCCACATCGCGGGGACGTCTCTCCGCAGCGCTCTGCCTGGCAGGGTGGCGCTTCAAATCCCCAAATTGAGAAGGAATTTAAAAAAAAAAATAAATTAAGAATTCAGGGCTGGCCACGCCTCGGGATTTTGGCCATCCGGCCCCTCTTTGTGAAGGCGTTCGGTTAGGGTCGCTCACAGCGTTCACGCTAAATTGCAGTTTACGGTAATTTCTACATGACAGCCATATGACATCAAGCCTTTGATTGTCTCTTTTTTTTTTTCTTTGTTTTGTTTCTCTTTTGCTAGTTCTTTTGGCTTGCCTTCCTGATCAGTCCTTGCCTGTGGACTGGCTTTAGCTATTCTGTGTCGCCCAAGGCAAGAAGACCGCCCGCCCGCGGGACATCGAAGCTGCTCTAGTTTTTTGGTCAACAGCTTAACAGGTGCTTGGCTAGCGGCTGTTTCAACTATTTTAAGTCCACAGCAAAAGGTTTAAGAACTTAATTAGAGAAGGGGGAAGTGTTTAAACTTAAAAAAAAAAAAAGGCCACTTAAATAATTAAACAAAAAAAAGATAAAACTAAAAAAATAAAAAAAAAAAAAAAAAAAAAAAAAAAAAAAAAAGAAAAAAAAAAAAAAAAACCAAGAGCATTCAGGTCTGTATGTCATGTACTGTGTTTGGTATTTCAGAAGACCATCCTGATTTAAGGTGCCACAGCTGCTTCCTCAGGGATTGCACTGCCATTTCACTCTGCCTGACTTTCTCCCACTGTACCATGAGGTTTGTCAGCAGATCCCCGGCACCCAGGCTCCCTTGTCGGTCACCAGGGCAGCCGGGCGCCTCTCTCCTTTCTCCTGGGGAAGCTTGTGGTGTAATGAGTGAACTTCAGGAGCTTAGAAACTTTAAGGTGGTAGAGAAATCCTCAAGGGAAGAGCTACAATCATAGACATTTCGATCAGCCATCGGGAGCCCAGGAACTTAGTTCTCTTCTTCGCAAAACCTTTTTCCGAGTCTGGCTGGGGGGTGGGAGACGGGGCATCTGAGTTGCTTAGCAGGTACTATTTACCCTGGTTTTGAGTGAATTTATTCTTCGGTTCGCTATTTTTTCGGGTTTCTTTTTCCCATCGTCGTTGGAAGTTCACTGCTGTTCTCCGGCTCGCGGAGCGCCGTGCCGCGCGGCGAGGGGGCAAACCGCCCTCGTGCGTTGCTGTTTTGCTGTAATTTCCCTTGGAAAACAGGCTTTTCGCTGTCCCTTCAGAGAGTCAGCCCGCCGGCAGCGGGTCGTGGC